GTAAGAAGTTCTGATGTTAATAAGGTTTGGGTAGAAATATAACCATTGTGATGTCCTGCAAAATTCATTAAAATGAGACTGGAGTTTATGATGGCTACAGGTTACCTATAGTGCAATGATAAAGAGGAAGCCTATCTTTTCGGCAACTCTTTTAATTATTTAAGAAATTTTCAAAAATACTGGCCAACAGGGAAATAGCATTATTTCATCCAGTTAATTCTGCCAACACTCTCATCATTCACCTAGACTTTTTACTACCTATATCCCACACTAGAAAAATATGTTCTTAGCTTCTTGATAAAATTCTACTTCTTTAACACACAGATTTCTGTTGAAAGTCAAACAAAAAGGGAAAAGATGCAAGACAGAATACAGTCAGGTGAGTATGTTTTGAGGCCAACACCAGTCTTTTAGTCGAAAAAGCTGCTTTTTTTGCATCTTTCTTGTGCTCTCTCTCCCACACAGCAACTTGACTGCCCTCTATGACTGCCCTCTACCCATACTGGCTTCTTTAAGGCCTTTGTTGAGGGAGCATATACTGATTAACAACATGAGCTTTAGAGTCAGGCTATTCAGAATTCATTATCTATCCTTCAGTTTAAAAAAATTGTAATATATATAAATATTGAATCGTTATGTTGTACACCTGAAACTAATATAATGTTATATGCCAATTATACCTCAATAAAAACAACAAACAAAACAATAAGACACACCTCTGGGGATATGCCAGAAATCTGTGTTGACAAGACCTTCAGGTGATTTTGATGTGTGCTAAATTTGAGATAAGACCTTTCCTAAAACCATAGAATATGTATGTCCAGAATATAATCTTCTAAATCCAAGGTTACCCTATCAGAGTTTTTTGTATTTTATAATAATTTAGATAAGTCACTCTAGAGACACTAAATATTCTTATGAAAAATGTACGTTGCATCCATCTACTTAGATGAAGTCTATATGGACTCCTCTTCTCCATGTTTTCTTTTCAGCTTTCATTGTTAAGTGAGTAGTTTTATGTATTGGTTTTTCAATCTATTGGAAATTTTAAGAAATACCTCTTATAAATATAACCAAAAGATTGATAAGTAATGATACATGTGAAATTTTTAGCACTCTGCCTGGCACATAAAAATGTTTTATAAATGGTAGTCAATAAGTACTATTATTATTTTACTAGTCACATTCTTTATTCATAATTGGTTGGGTTACATAACTACAGCAAAACTTTTGTTACCTCATGAAGAGCTTTTTAGGATCCTCTAGTATCTAGAATGAGGCGAAGATCAGAAATAAGAAAACTCTTGTCTATAAAGAATGAGATTATGGTTATCAAGATGGGAGCAGCCAAACCTAAGTCAAAGACAAAGATTACATATAACATTCTGAAATTGTTGCTTTGTCAATCAGAAGTACGATCTTTCTGATAATGCCAGGGCAGAAGGGTAGGTAAAACAAAATAAGGAGGCAGAAGAGAAAGGAGAAATTGGCTGGAAAGATAAACTGTGATAGTTCAGGCAGCAGTGGTGATAAAACCCAAATCAGGTTGGGCAAGCAGCAGGCAGGCTGGTAAGTCATGAGGCAGGAAATGGGGGCATGATCCAGCTCCCTGTATCTCAGAAGCTCACGATGTCCCAGGTCATTTCAGATGCTTGTAGAAAGAACCCACCTGCATTTTGATATCCTTAAGGGCTAAACTCCTATTCTCTGGTAGTCACTAATCTGCAATTACACACTGTCTGAAGATGTTACATTTCTGAGGGTGTTTTCTGTTTTTATGGGCCCTTATATCTGCCATTTGACAAAACAGCATTTAATGGATCAGAAAGTAGCTCTTTGCATTCTTAACACAGCTGGAAAAGAGTTGAAATGAAGGCTAACAGATTTGTGAACCACAGTGTTGTAAATGCTGCTCTACATGAATTATATTAAAAAGATGTCTTTTTCCCAAAGGAAAAAAGGCTCCATTAAATAACCATATACATGTCTGTGAATGTATGCAAAAGTTCTGAAAGAAAACTCACTGAACTCAAATCTGTTAGCCTTCATTTCAACTCTTTTCCAGCTGTGTTAAGAACGCAAAGAGCTACTTTCTGATCCATTAAATGCTGTTTTGTCAAATGGCAGATATAAGGGCCCATAAAAACATAAATGTTCTCTGATAGTAAATGGTGGTGGTGATGGGGGTTGGGGGCCCACAGAGGGAAGTTCAGTTTGTATTCAATGTACTTGTGTATTATAAAACATCTAAAAATGAGAAGAGGTCCATGTGTTACTTGCGATTTTTATAAATCAGTGAAAAAAATAGCATGGTAAAAACTTTTATGGGATTTAAAAGTTAGAAACTTTTATGGGATTTAAAGGTGAGGGCAGGTTACCAGCCCTCAAAGGATTCAGAAAGGGACATAAACCAACAGGGCACATCAGAAGCCTTCTTTCATACTCTACTTAAGCACGTTATATGGACATTATATCCTGTAGGACTTCACACTGACACAGTACACATCACAAACCCTGAAAAGTTTAGGCTCCCTCTTCTGCACACATTTTTGCTCTCTTCATCAGTGTCACGTAAAGCAAAGCTTCTGAACTCAAATGTAAAGGTTTACTTTAAAAATCTGAGTACAGATTTCTAAAATAAAAAGATAATCCCTGAACTGCCTTAATATGCCTTCTCTCAAAGTTACACACTTTGGGCAAATACATTAGTGAGAGTTAAAAATGAGGTGCTGAGGCAGTAAGTATTCATCAGGTGTAGAGGCTGAGTCCATGTACTGCCCTGTAATTGAAATGAGAGGTCTTTAGAAACTGTTTGGTCTCAGGTTGCTCAAATGGACAGTCAGAACACTTAGGGTTCTGATATCCAGGCACTTCACAGAAAGCAATATCGCACTGACTCTGCAAGGCAGTGACTAGAAAGTATTTTTATTAGTAAACAGAGTATCCTTTTTCCACTTATGCATGGGTTATAAAGAACATATTAAAAAAGCAGGTAAAAATAAAAACTCACCATCTAGAACGAGAACTATTTTAAGTCCATTTTATATTTGAATAAAATATGTACTAGTGATCTTTTACTAATATGAAATGTCCTCAGTAAGTGGTCTTTAAAAACAGTGGAGTGGCACACATGCATTTTCCCAGTAATATTTCTGAGCTCATACACACCAATAAACAATTTCAGAAATAAAGACCACGAGGAACTATTAGAACTGTATGTGCTAACAATCGTGCCATACATTTGCTACTGTTGTAAAGACTAAGATTTCACACTTATGAAATTTTAGCTTTAAGTCTTCCATTCCTGATCTTGATCAAGCCTAGGCTCCAATTTTCTAACATTACTTTTAAAAAACTGTCAACCCTAATAAGAGGAAGTAATCAAATAAAATTAACTGAAATTCATATTAATCCCCACAGCTGGCCAACAGTTGAACATTTTTTCTAAATCAAACCTTGTACCACAACTGTTACACAGTTATGAAGAATTGATAGGACTGTCTTCCTTCTATAGTGATGTGCTTAATAAACAGAAGACACAGAAATAAAAAAAATTAAGGAGAAAAAAAGGTGCTGTGCTTAAAGGACAAAGTAAGTAGATTCCTTAGAAAATGAAAGGCAGTATTAAGAATATTTTTATCTTTACTTACTCTGCTTATAAAAGAACTAATTTCTGCCCTGATTTGATACTCCCATCAGGCGATTTGTGCTGACTCCTGCAACACTCAAATTACAGTTTTATTAACTCTTAGTCAATGGTCAGTGTTGGTCCTCTTTCTAGGTAAGAAACAAAGTAGTAAAGGTGACAGTGGACTACATGTCGCTGAATTCAATGGACCCTAAATCTAGAAGGAACCATTCACCAGTTCTGGATGCCTGGTGTTTGCTTGAAGACCATGAGATTGGTAGGCAAGGAATCTGGGTCATCTTGTTCCTTCTCTTACTCTGTTACTTAGGACAAATCACTTAATCAGACTGATCAGCTTCGCCATCAGAAACAGCAGCATCGTATTTGGCTCACAGAGACGGGAGGATTAACTATGGTAATCACAGTAGATACACATAGAAATATTCAACTAACGTTAATCTTTTCTTAGGGGGAGGATCACGGAGCAGAAAAGGCAAAGTCTGGGTTTCTTGGCAGTGCCGAGCAGTTAAAATGTTGGGGGGTGAAGAAGGAGAGGGAGAGAAAGGGGGTGAGAGAGGTTCCCTCATCACCCAGGCAAGTTTCTCTGCCTTTTCAGACCTCATACAGCAAAGTGTTTGGCATTTATATCATACCGTGTATCTTCAGTCACATTTTCATACTGTAAGATCTTGTCTTTTTAAACCAGATTTAACACTCCTCCAAACAGTGTTTTTATACACAGTGTCTACTCTACAGGGCCCCGCTCATTACAAGTAGCAGTAAACATCTGACTGATAGAGCACACAGTGGGGTCAGCTACATTCAGAGGGGCTTCCACGACAGTGTTTTCAAAAGGTGGAGGCCTCTTCCTGCCAAGCGATATAATCCCGGGTGGTGCCCTTCCAAAGCCACCCAATCCCTTCTTGTCATCTCGCGCAACGTTCCCGATTTTTCTTCCCATTTCGGGGGCCGAATCGTAAAAAATTCAGTGGTACAACTGAGGCCGCCCTGGCGGCGGCGGCGCAGCGGCCACACCTACTCGGCCGCCGCGGCGCCCGGAGCCCACAGAAGGCGGGCCAGAGGGGCTGCCGGGGCTCGGGGCGCCGCCCCCTCCTCGACTCCTCCGGGAAAGGCATCTCCCAGCCGGGGACCGGGTCTGGGACCCGGCGAGCACGTGAGCGCCCGGCCCGGAGAGGAGGGGAGGCCAGGCCCGGCGGAAGCCCGCGGCCTGGGGAGACTCGGAGGTAAATAATCCGGCGCCCGGACAGTCGCCGCCCCCTGCGCCCCGGGAGCGGCGCTTCCCCAGCGCCCCCGCCTTCTCCGCGCCCCGCGGGCCCCCACCCGCGTTCCCCCTTCCCCTGCCGCCACTCACGATGCTTGCCGCCGCCGCCGCCACTCGGGTAGCTCAGCAGCAGGAAGGGCAGCGGGGAGCCCGGCGACGGCGGGGTCCTCCAGGCGCGCTGCTGCTGCGGCGGAGGCGGGCGCGCTGCGAAGCCGGCGCCTCCATCGCCCGGGTAGAGCAGGAAGAAGGGGGCGGCCACCGGCGAGTCGGGCTCCGACTGCCCGCCGGGGGAGGCCGGCGGCGGCCCCGCCTCACCCTCTCGGTCCGCGACCCCGGCCGGAGCGCGGCGCGGCTCCTCCAGCCGCTGCTCCCCGCCCTTCGCCGGCTCCTCGTTGCAACTTTCGGCGCCGGCGGTGGGCGGCGGCGAGGTCTCAGCCATGCTGGCTTCTTTATACGCCGCCGCCTCGGACTCGCGCCCGGGTCTGGGCGGGGGAGCGGGGGGTCACGGCCGGGAGCCGCTGCCCCGTCCGATCAGCGCGGCCGCCGCCACCTTCCTTCTTGGCCACGGGCCGGGTCTGGGCTCCGCCGCTCTGCCTATGGCCCGCCCCGCCGGGGTCCGAGCCAGCTGGAGGGACAGCCCCGCCCGACGGCTCGGCCTCCTTACCGGCCGCCGCTCTCGACTGCCCCTCCCGCCCCGGCCCCCAGCTTGCGGCTCGGCACCCCTAGGGGGCGGTGTCCTCCTCTTCCCACCTTCCGCTTCCCTCCCGCTGCGCTGGTCTCCCTGCGGGACCCGAAGGGAGGCGACGGCGCTCTGTGCCGGGTCCTTACCGCCCCCGACCTGACCCTCAGCGGCCGGGTGTGTTCGCCCCCCTGGTGCTTGAAAGGTGGGAGACCTGGCGAAGTATCTAGCTTTTTGTGTGTAACCGCCTAACTTTATCGGTAGCACGGAGGCTCAAAGATCTGCGTTGAAGAAGAGGCAAAAGCTATTTTAAAAAGGACTCCTCCCCTTCCCCCCCGGGTATTAAACTGTACCATTTGCCTTTCACACCCTAGAACTTTAACCGTTGATTCACGGTTTTGATTCAGGAGCTTTTTATGTGAAATACTAGAGGTGGATGATTTCTTCCCAATCACCTCTTTTGTTCCCTATCATGTGCTCGGTGTAGAAATCTTGGAATTTGCATTGACTTTAACTCCCTGGTTTTCTGGTGTTCCGGGTTCGCATGAATGAATTTTAAGCCAAAAAGTTTAGAATTTATGTGACAAACGTCTATTACAGGTTGACAGTTTTCACTTTCATACTGCCTGTGTCTCGCTGCTGCTCTATTTTGAATATTTGAATCAATGATTACTGATCCAGTAATTCCCGTAAACACTCCTTAAAGACAATTTCTTGTTATTAATACTGTCATTATTCTTGATGCTGATTCCATGAACGTGCCCCCCCCCCCTCGTATTTCCTGATTAGCCTTGTGTTCGGGTTGCAAAATGCTGGCATAGAATCCATGTTAACTCATAATTTAAAATCACTGTTGTGTAACGCTTTGCCCACCTGCTTTTTCCTCCTTCTCTGGTCTGTCATTCCCTCTGTAGAGGAAGTTATACTTTTCTGAAAGGCAAACTTTTGTATTGTTGTTTATTCTCATTAAATCACTCTTGAAATTACCACAATAAATCGCCATGAGACTTCTAATATTATCTTTCACCAAATCTTTTAAACAAGAAGCATTTAAAAGGGAGATGTTTACAAGAAGCTAACTTCAAGCAATCACAACATTTCTTAGTAGCTTTTCACTTTCTGGCATTTCCCTAACCTGTAGATCCCAGCCCTTGTGTCTACTTGAATAAGTTACTTGTCCTCTGAACCTGGATTCCTCTTCTGTAAAAATAATTTTATTACTTATAGAGATGTTATGAGGGTTAAATAAGAAATATAAATAAAGACTTTAAAACAGGGTCTGGCATAGGGTAAAATAATTATTAGCTATATTTTAGCATGTTGACAGAACAGCATATAACTTACAATAATAAAAACAAAATTGGAGGGGGAAAGCCTTTTCATCGTATCTTTAGAACTTTGGAAGTTTGATGGGCCTTTTCAGTTTTTTGGTGAGGGTGAGTCTTTATAAGAAAATATATTTGCCTTTTAGTATTTGCAAACTGCATAATACTTGAAAAGAAAAAACTGTAAGATTTCACGTGCATTATACTTTTTTTTTGTCTTTAGAGAACTGTTCACATTTTACTTTAGCCCCCAGACATAAGTTAAGTACAGGTAAAGACAGATTTCTGTTATTGGAATCTGACACAAAATCCACAATTTGTTCTAAAAGCTTGTTATCTGCACCAGTTTTCTCACTTTAATTTTTCACTTTTCAATTACAGTTGACATTCAATATTACATTAGTTTTAGGTATACAACTTAGTGGTTAGACATTTATATAACTTAGGAGGTGATCCCCCCATAAGTCTAATACCCACCTGACACCATGAATAGTAATTACAATATTAGACTATATTCCCTATGCTATAATGTACTTTACATTCCCGTGACTTTTTTAACTGCTGATTTCTACGTAATCCCTTCACCTTTTCCCCCAGCACACCCCCAACCTTGTATTATATGGTTTTAACACCCATCTTTAACTGGATCTTTTGCCTTGTTTTTCTATGCAGAAATTTCAAACTATCATTGTATTTTTTCAGGCTCCTTTACAGAGATGTTTTGCAATTTTCCAGTAAAGAATTTGACAAGAATATACACTTATGCCATTGTAGGTAGAAGAAAAGAGAGCTGAGTCCTCACAAATCACTCTTAAGAAAGGCTAATAATAAGCAGCCAAGGGAGTCACCAAGTTAAAGCATGAAACACTAGTCTAAATTGCTAATGTTCTCCTTTCTATAGTTAGCCAGGATACCTATAGGTATTAGGAAGACTGACATGCTTGGAATCTTGAAGTGTATTGGTTTTTTATGCCTTCTACTTTTTAAAAACAGTTCTATTTATGCTTTATGTTATTAAGTGGCAGTGTAATGAATATAGAAAATCAGATGAAATATGACTCCTTTAAATTTTACAGGCAAGGCTATTTATGAGCAGTTTCTTTAAAAGTGGATGGTACTCCAAGTTCCTAGTTTCTTATGCTTTTGGCTGTTGGATCAATATAATCACAGCTCTGCATAAGCTCTAGTGACATAAAGGGCTGATTCAGCTGCTACACACATTTAGGGAAGCCAAGATTATGAAAACGAGCCTAAACATGTTGCTCCTTGAAAATGCAGAGTATCATCTTACACTCTTTTGAAGTGACAAAATCCAAGCATTGTAAGAATCAAGCTCTTATTAATTTTCTTGTGAAATAAAGCAAGAGGTGCTTTTCAACTTTATCTGAATTTACTTATCCATGTTTGATTTTTAGAAACTGGTGATCTTAAAGATGGACACTTAGAAAATATTACAAAACTTTTTAGAGATCAGTGTCAGGATGTACTTTTAATATAAACTTCTTAGAACTGTGATCAGAGAAAAGATACCACTTGGGAGGGTTGATTTTCTTTTTCAGTATAGTATATGGGTTTTATGATTCTGTAATAATGGCTTTCTTGAGCATTTGTTTCTCATTGAGCAGTACTTGGGAAAGTCTTACTTGAAAACCAGGCAATTTAAGACTTCATGTTAAACTTCTGATTTTAATAAATGCAGGAATTTACTTATACTAATTAGTTAATATAAAGCCTTCGTGTGAAAGTTCTCATAAAAGTCCACCATTCTTTACTTTTGAATTACTAGGTTTTGATGTCTGTTATTGACTTAGTTTTTCAAACATTAATTACACAAATACTTAAGCCAATATATACCTCCTTTCCATTTTTATTGTATCTTTAATACTTAAGAAATATAAGCACCACTTTTAATGTAATACTCTTAAGAGTACAATGCACCCTTAATAAATGTATTTATCTTAAGCAATGTATTTCATCTAGCGCAAACAATGGCAGTTTTCTTTGGGTGGTAGAAATATGGATGTATTTTTCCATTTTTCTACTTTTCTGTATTTGCAAGTAGTTTATAGTTAATATGTTAACTTTATAATAGAAAATAAAACATGTTGAGGGACTATTTTGATTAATATTTTGATAATTATTCTTTTTAATGAATATCTGCTAACAGCAAAGTTGTGTTCCCTGTGTATATTGTGGAGAAATACAATTCCTACCCTAGAGGAGTGTATCATATTTTGTCTTTTTAGACTTTTAATATTAGTGTTGCTGAAATTATTTGGTTGTTTGCTTTTGCTGACCTTCTATGACTTTATCTAGTTTGTTCTAATTCTCATGCACTTTTTCAAATGCTCTTCTAAATTTCTCTCAAATTTGTCCCTTAATTTGTTCTCTCTGCTCTAACTGAAATGTTCATCTTTTCTTGCCTGTATTATTGCAAAGGACTCCTAACTGGGTTTCCTGCCTGCTTTTCATCTATTCCAATTCCAATGCTCTACAGCAGCTAATTTGTATTTCTAAAGGTTGATCTAATTATGTCACACTGATTCTTAAACACTTTGGTTACCTTCTCCATATCTGGGATATAATCTAGGTTCCTTTAATGATCTAACCCCTCCCCACCTTTCCTTTCCAATATTATCTTTCTTTCTCACACTCTTCTTGCCTTTGGGTAACTTGAAGGTTTGGCCTTATTCATATTGCCACACCCACTCTTCCCCCAAGATTCTACTCAGAGCGGATCTCTGCCCTCAGGGGGAGAGGTGCATGCCTCTTTTGAGGTCCTATAGCATCCTAACTAAGCAGTAAATGGCTCTAACTGTAATGTGTCTATTTCTTCTACCAATGTGTCTACTCCCAAAGTTGACATCTTTCTTTTTACAATGCACAACTGCTTTATTCTAGTAGTTCTCAACCCCCCCCCCTTTTTTTTATTAAAAACCCCCTTTCTCTTTCTAAAAGCATATCAAAATTCTTTAATTCTGTGGCCATCAGGGACCCTGGATAGAAGTGATTCAGAAAAATTGTACTATGAAATTTAAGAAGTAAACTTATTTGGGCTTAATTTTCCTTTTTGGGTATGTTCAAACATGATATAATTACAAATGCATGTCTTTTAGATAGAGCTCATTTAATATTAAAATATTCTAGGTGCTAATAAAATTCTGTTCAGTCGTCTACTTTGAATAATTCCCCCTCCCACCCTTGGTAAGATGTTAATATACATATTAACATAGACCATATAAAGCAATGCTTAAGGGTAAAAGGAACAGTCCCCTAGTGTAAGGTTTCCTGAAATCCAAGGACTCTTGGTTTCAGAGTCTAGGAACCCCCTGATGTGGAATGCAAAATGTTGTGATGAGGTCTGTTATTTTTTGGCAGGGGCAGGGTGGAAGGGGTGGGAAGGTCATTGCTTTTAACAGGATTCTGATGGGGCTACCCTCAAGGTTTTGTAGTTCCATGGTAATACCATATTTCATGCTTGTAATTAATTTCATTCATACATCTATGTTATTAGCTAAGAGAAATCTAAAA